GTAACTACTACTGGGGCCCTTTCAGCAGCAATGCTATTTACTCCTTAGTGGTTCTGGGGACTTGCATAAGCCTGGTGAGGCTGCAGCCTTGGTGCAGGAACAGCTGAAATGCTGTTGGTGTGCTCTTGCTGCCAGTCTGTAGGCAGCTGAGGTTGTTATCCCAGAAATTAATTTGGCCACTGTGTGCCAAAGCTGTGATGTTCATTTTTGCAACGTGGTGAGCCTGTGGCTTGTGTCATCCTGGAATTATACTCTGGGTTTGGGATGGAGCCAGGTGGACGGGTGGGTGGGATAACCACCTTGTCCATAAGACTGGCAAGGGCTTCTAGGCACCTCTGTGTGGGTTTTGACGTAAGGGAGCGCTTCAGCAATGTGTGTGCTAATGTCGTGTTCCATCCACACACCCGTCTATCAGCTCACTTATGCAGACATGGGGGATGTCCTGGAAGCCCTGGTAACATCAGGTCCTGTCCTGCCAGCTGCTCTGCAGGAGGGCTGTCAGGCTCCCTTTGGGCGCAGAGTGTGCTAGTTCTTCAGGCAGAGACCTCACTCTTGTCTGCCTCTTTCAGACGGATGGTGCTTCAGCAGTTCTGCTTATGTCTGAGGAGAAGGCTCTGGCACTGGGCTACAAACCAAAGGCTTACCTAAGGTAAAAAGCCTGCTCTGCATGGCCTCTGACGTCTGCTCTCGCTTCTGTCTCCTCCTCTTTCTGTTACTAATAGCATTTCTCCTGTGTAGGGACTTCGTGTATGTGTCCCAAGATCCAAAGGACCAGCTGCTACTGGGGTAGGTACCGATGCTCAAAAGCCCTAATAGTCTGTACTAGCCCAGCAGCCTTGACTTGTCATTACGCATCTTTTCTTTTGTGAAGTGTCTCATGAGATGTTAATCTTCAGGCTCTCTTGCAGAGATGCCAGAGCTGGTGTGCTAGGTGTGACTTGGGAGGGGGAGGCAGCGAATGTGGGAGAGGAGCTGTGGCAGACATACCCACCCTGGTGTGCTGGGAGGCATCTCAGTGTGGTGTTACTAGCAGTGGTTACTTGGGGTTGTGTTTTGGTTAGACAAGCAGAGAGCTGTACCATGGACCTAGGGAACGTAACGTGGGTTGCTGTGGAAAAAGGGGGCGATGATGTGATGAAATGTATTCATATAAGACTTCTGTTTCTTAACTCCTCTTCAGTCCAACCTACGCTACTCCCAAAGTGCTGGAGAAGGCAGGTCTGACCATGGCTGATATTGATGTGTTTGAATTCCATGAAGCTTTTGCTGTAAGTACTGAGCCTAGAGCACTACCCATCCGATCACTGCTTGCGTCGGGCTGGGTATCAGTCAGCGGGTGCTGAGCAGTTGTATTCTCTTCCCTTGTTATTTCCCTTATCATTATTACTACTGGTGGCAGCAGTAGTGGTTTGTGTTATACCGTAGTTACTGGACTGCTCTTATCTCAACCTGTGGGAGTTACATTCTTTCGATTCTCCTCCCTATCCCTGTGGGAGTGGGGGGAGGAAGGAGGAGAGGGGTGAGTGAGTGGCTGCGTGGTTCTGAGTTACCAGCTGGGCTTTTAAACCACAACAGTACAGCTGGTACAGCTGGAGCACTAAGGATACCTCCAGCTGTAAAAACCTGTTCTGTAGGCGTCTGCTTTCGTGTTGGTGAAAGCTCTTGATAAGACCTTCACTAAACGTACATAGGTGTAATTCTGCATTCATGTCTGAAGAGAAGTACTGTATATATTTTAAATATATAACATTTTATGTGGACACAACTGATGCTAAGCTTTTGTTGTTTAAAGTCACCAAAGGAATACAGATTCTTCTAAAATAATATATAAACAAAAATAGTTATAATTCCCCAGGACCCTTGGATGAAAGAAACCACATCACCTACTAATTGGATTGGGAATCTGTGTTACCATGGTGAGGTGGCTCATTTACTGGGTGGCATCTTTCTCTAGCGAAGGTTGAGCTGACATTAGCAGGCTGAGCCTGTATTTGGCTGTGTTAGTTTAGTGATCGTAGCAAGTCCTGGGATATCTCACGCTTGGTAAGCGCTGTCCTTAGGTTTTCTTCAGAGCCTGCCCGTTCTTGTTACTGTCACGCTCCCTCTCTTTCAGGGGCAGATCCTGGCTAACCTGAAGGCTATGGATTCAGACTGGTTTGCACAAAACTACATGGGCAGGAAGTCGAAGGTAAGACACAATCGGGACACTTCTATCTTTAGTTTAGTTTAACTTGAGGATTTATTGAGTCCCTTGTTGCAGCAGGGTGTGTGGTGCTGCAAAGCACAGCTTTTGTAGTGTCCCTTCTTGCTTAGCAAATCCCGATGTGAGCAGTTTCTCTGGGAGTGATGGCATTTCCATTGTCAGCGGGAGGTGGAGATCTAAAGTCATAATAGAAATTATTGGAGATGGGAATTAAAGACAGTGGGAGGGGGCCAGTCCTCCTTCATGCTTTCTGAGAGTCTGGAGTATCTCTGCTGGACCGCAGGTGAGGTGGCAAAGCCTTTAGCACAGCTTTGTCCTGTCTTCAGGCACTTGTACATGGCAACAGACACTTTGTAGGGCAGCCTGGGCTGTCGGAGGTTTGGTGGTGTTAGGAGTAGGTCAAGCAGCCTCCATGCAGGCAGGTGATGGTGTGTGTCCTCACAGGTTGGAGCCCCTCCTCTGGAGAAGTTCAATACTTGGGGTGGTTCCCTGTCACTGGGCCATCCTTTCGCTGCCACTGGATGCCGGCTGGTCATGACTGCTGCTCACAGGTTGAAGAAGGAGGGAGGACAGTACGGCCTGGTTGCTGCCTGTGCAGCAGGAGGGCAGGTAATGATGCTTTGGGGTCAGGCACTGTTCCCTCTGGAGAGCTAGCCACATTTCTGATCCTGGTGGTGCTGTGAAATCCTGTCTTGGCACACCAGGTGGCACTGGGTGTCCCTGACACCCTCTTGCTCTGTTCAGTGGGCTCCCTCTGCCTCATTCCTCTTTAGAGACTCTCCAGCCCAGCTCAGAATCATCAGTTGGGGTTTGTGAATGTCATTCTTCTCACTTTGGGAAGAAAGAACTTAACTAGAAAAATGGGAGTGAGACTCTACCTACAGCTTGTGGGCCTTTGGGTGGGAGCCTGGTGCAGGCTGCAGTGACTGGTGGCACTTCCACAGGGACCTGGCATAGCTGGTGCTCTGTATCCCGAGGTGCTGGTGTTCCTAGCCTGGCCCTTGGGACAGCCCGATGCATTGGCTGGGCGGTACTCCGGTTCCTTTCCCAGCCTGGAGCAGCTGTGCTGTCCCAAAGCCATCAAACTGCTGTTGGCAGAATCCTTTCAGTGAGCCAGTGCTGGATTTTCATCTCCCCTTTTATGTTAAGGTGTTCAGGAGATGGCATCTCCCATCGTGAGCCTGTCTGTGATGGTTAGTCTTTTCTGTGACCATTCCTTGTCTTTCTCTCTCCTTCCAGGGCCATGCGATGTTAGTGGAGCTTTACCCTCAGTAGTGGCACGAGGGGCTGCTGAGTGGGTATTCATCCATCCTGTGCCTGGCAATGCCATTTCAATGCACTAATAAAACATCCTACAATCCTTCTCAGAAAGGGTTTTTGGTGGCCTTTATAAATAAATCCCTTCTAGCTACTCAGCTGGTAATTTTCAACTAATGAATGCACTCTAAGAAATATTCCACTTCCAGGAGAGTAAAAGTTAAGGTAGCTTTTAGCCTCTTGTGGCTCATTGTAACCTCTGTGATTCCTAATGCAACTCTTCAGTAAGTGTGATTTCTCCCCCTGTGGAGAAGAGGGATGATTCCAAAGCCGTGTAGGGAGGATTAAATTTGGGAATAAGGAGAATGGAAGGTACTGGAGATCGCTGGGCTTAGGTGGAATTAATCTGGGGAGTAACAGCTGTTTTCAGGAATGGGTTCAGGCTGAGTTGGCTGACCTGGTTTTGAAAGAGGAGGTTTGCTGCGTGATGTCCAGACAGCACTGGAATTAGCAAATCACTTCTGAACAAATGAGTGTTGCTGATGTTAACCACAATAAATCAGGAAATAAAATAGTCTGGCTTTTTAACTTCCTTCCCTCACCTGACACAGGTTGGGGCTGATTTCTGTGGGAGACGTGCTCTGAGGTGACCGCTTTCCGAAATGGGAGATGGCGGCTCTGAACTCCGACCCAGTGAATCATAAGAAGAGACGCTTTTGAGCGTGTTTTGGTGGCTTGCTTCTCATGATCTCACCCTGCCAGCATCTGACACGGTTGAGATTCAGCAGTGGGGGAGGCACACCTGAGATAAGGGACAGGCGTAACAGTGGGTGGTTCTGGCTTCTTCCTGGCTGGAAATCTCGTGCTGCAGTGGGAATCGTGTACTGGGAGGTGGCTATGGGAGCAAGTGGGAGCTGCGTGGATGGTGGGTAAAGGAGGCAATCAGGAACTGCCTGGTTGAAGTGTGAAGGGGCCTGTTCCCTTCTGTGTGTGTCTTTCAAGATAACATAACCCCATGTAGCTGCTTGCTTTGCTGATGTGGACATTAGCCTGTCTGCAGCACTAGGTGCATGGGAGGTGATTGCCCTGCTACCAGTCCGGGGGGGGGTGTGTGTGTGCTGTGGATGGGGTTGCTTCAGGGAGCCAAGGCTTGTGTGCTGTTTGGGCTGGGAGGTGAGCTGATACAGTGTGAAATGTTTCCACAGCTCAGGTGAATGCGTGTTGCTGTGTCCTGGGGCAGCCCAGGCAGTGCTGTGGCCCCATTTGGATGTTGTCTGCTCCAGAGTGGCTCATTTCCACAGTTCTCTTGGAGGATTTAATCCACCTCCGGGGCTGTGCTGTGGCCTGTTGCAAGCGGTGGCTGGGTTCCTGCATGTTTAGTGGGGCAGGGCTGCTGGCCTTCACGCTGTGACTCATCATCGAGGTTCATCCTGCTCCTCCGCCTGCGCTCCCAGTGTCTCTCCTGCCACCTCATCGTGCACCAGGACCCTCGCTGCTGCCACCATCCTCATCATAGGTGAAGCCGCTCTGGTGCATCCGTCCTGTCTGTGCAGAGAAGGTGCTGGGGCAAATGGGGTGGATTGGCTGCAGAGAGCTGGGAGAGGGGACATGGAGAACACCTTTACAGAGCTCCTTCTCTGACCCTTGGTACAGATGGAGCCCAGCTCTGCTCTTCTCCAACCAGGCAGGGGTCTGACCCTCTGTTCCCTGTGTTGGGGTGCCCCTCGCAGCCCAGGAGTGCTGCATGCTAGGCAGAACTGGGCTGCTGGGGCATGCATAGGGCTGTGCCTGCTGAAGCAGGGTCAGGGCAAAGGTTTCTTTCACTCTCCGTGTGTTTGGCACTGACCTGGAGTGGAGGTGCGAGGTGGAAGGTGGTGAGGAGGAAGGGGTAAGGAAGGGGAAGGGGCCCTGGCTGGCCTGGGGAAGCTGTGCCTTGCTAGTGTGTCCCCCTTGGGCTCGCAGTGTGAGTGAAAGGGGCAAGCCAGGGCTGATCTCACCTCCTGGGTGTGCCAGGCTCTGCATGCCCATGTGGCATGGGATGGGCTGTGGGGATTTGCCACGGTCCCTCACTGGAACCTGGATGAGCAACCCCATTCTGCTGTGGGGCATGGAGCAGGTGGCATGGAAGAGGATGGTCACCCTCACCTGCATGCCCCTGGTGGATGCTGCACCACCTGCGGTGGTGGGCAGGGACCATGGGATAGGGTGCTTTGCCATGGTGGGGCACTGTGGGGGTATTTGGCTGGCAGGATTTGGGAGGCAAGTCACAGGCATCCTGTCTGATGAAGTGCTGTTTGCAGGAAGCCTGAGCTGCCCCTGTGCCCTGCCCGCTACCCTGCATGGACACTGGGGTGCAGGATGGGGCTGAGGCATCGCTGGAGGCATGCCTGATGGCTGAGGTGAGCATGGGCAGGGGCTTGGGGGACAGGAGACACCCCAAAGATACCTGTGGCTGGGGTACCCCCACAGTGGAGGATGGGGGGTCCCCATGGGTGGAGGATGGGGATGCGGGTGCAGCCATCAGCATCAGTGCAGGGATGGGACTGAAGGTCACGTTCAGAGTGGGTAGAGGGGACTGTGGTATGGACACATGTGGAGAAGCTTTTGACAAGGGCCTGTAGGGACAGGACAAAGGAGAATGACCTTAAACTGACAGAGGGGAGATTGAGATGAGATCTGAGGCAGAAGTTCTTCCCTATGAGGGTGGTGAGGCCCTGGCACAGGGTGCCCAGAGAAGCTGTGGCTGCCCCATCCCTGGCAGTGTTCAAGGCCAGGTTAGACAGGGCTTGGAACAGCCTGGTCTAGTGGAAGGTGTCCCTGCCTGTGGCAGGGGTTGGAACTGGATGAACTTTAAGGTCCTTTCCAACCCAAACCATTCTGTGATTATATGGAGGAGGTAGCTTGACCCTGTAGTTCCCATGGGGGAGAGGCCAGAGGGCGAGGGAACAAGGGAACATCCCAGCTCACCCTGTCCTCCCGCTGCAGGAGTCAGAGGAGAAGCAGCGCCCGGTGGCGCAGTGGACTGTGGCGGAGGCTGGTGCCTGGCTGGCTGCACACAGCGGGGCCAGGGAGCTGGTGGAGCTGGCACATGAGCACGACGTCTCGGGCCGGGTCCTGCTGCGGCTGACGGAGGGGACCCTGCGGCGCATGGGGGTGACCCCGCGGAGCCGGCGCCGGGAGCTGCTGCGGGAGCTGCTGCAACTGCGGCTGGAGCAGGAGGTCGAGGAGCTGCTGAGCATTGTTGGCCGTGAGCATCCCCACTCCATATGTGGGCTGGGGGGGAGCACTGGTTCCCTGGGTGGACGGTGGTCATTGTCACCTCTCCTCAGAGTGAAGACAGTGTCGCTGCGGATGTCCTGGAGACTGCAGGAGGAGAGGTGATGCCATGGGAGGACAAAGCAGCAGCTGGGACTGAGCACTTGATGCAGGAGCGGTGCTGGAGGGAACCTTGAGGTGACTGTGTTCCCCGTGGACAAGACCAAATCTGGCTGGAAGAGGTGGCCACCGGGCCCCGGGTGGCATGCGTTGAAGGGTGGCTGCCAGCTCCCATGGGGTCCTATCGGCTCTGGCATGCTGGGGGCACCCTACCAGCCCCCCCTGGATCCTGCTGCAACCATGAGGCAGCCTGGCCCCAGGAGTGACCCTCCAGTCTGTCTGTCTGTCTGTCTGTGGTATAGAGCATAGGGGACAAGTTCCCAGGTTGCTGTGTAGGGGAAACCTGTCTCCTCGGTACCCTGGGGCTGGCAGGAACAGGGCAGCAGTGCCCAGCCCAGAACTGGTCTCAATAAACACTGCCCTGGTAAGTACAGAGGGGTCCCCACTCTGAGGACCTAGAAAAGGTCTGAAAGCCCAAACCCACCCTGCCACAGCCCAGGACAGGGAGTCTGCAGCCTCCTCTGCCCTGGTATTTTCCTGGCCCTGAACTTCTGCACTGGTGCAAAGGGCTGGCTGTGAACTGCAGGGCAGGATCCATCCCCAGGACCCGATTCTCCAGGGAAGAAGACCGGGGCGAGCACTCCTTCCTCCCACACTACCCTGCTGTGGTCTCAGAAGTCTCATGTGGTCCAAGGGTCTGGCTGCATCCTGTGTGGACCCCTGTGGTCTGGCACCCTGGATCCTGGTACTGGCACTATCTATGCCTGCATCCTGTGCTGGAAAACGTGGTGGGAGCTGAGCGAGCAGCCGTGTTGAGCTGAGGGACAGGGCACAGTCTGGTCTCTGCTTATCTTAGTGCAGACCCTGGGCAGGTTGAAAGTTTACTTTGTTTTTTACCCTGGCTTGTGAAATGGGCATTCTGTTTCCCGGGAATAAAATCCCTTCCTGGAAAGGGCTCAGACAGCCCACAGAACTGAATTGGCTCCTCAGGCTCATGTGTTTTCATACAAAAAGCCTCACTTCTCTCTTCCTGCAGGAACCAGCCACGGGGGGCTTCCAGCGCTCCTGGACCAGTGCCAGTGGGGCTGGAGCATATCCCACCGGGCAGCTGGAGGGATACAGAAAAGCACAGGCTGCCACCAGGGCCTGACCCACGCTTGGCCGAGGCTGGAGCAAGAGACTGCTCGCCTTAGGCAGCCCATAGGAGGGGTCCCACAGGGGCAGAGGAACTCCCTTCTGCTGCAGAGACCTCACCCGCATGAGCCCATTGGGTGCCCCGAATGGCTGTGGTGCAAAACCAGCACAAAACACATGGAGTGGAAGGGATGCTGGCTAGTTGGGATCTTGGAATGATTTGGGTTGGAAGCTCATCTAAAAGCTCATCCAGTTCCAACCCTCTGCCATAGGCAGGGACATCTTCCACTAGATCAGTTTGCTCCAAGCCCCGTCCAACCTGGCCTTGGGCACTGCCAGGGATGGGGCAGCCACAGCTTCTCTGGGCAACCTGTGCCAGGGCCTCACCACCCTCACAGGGAACAACTTCTTCCTAAGAGCTCAATTTCCCCTCTGTCAGGTTAAAGCCATTCCCCCTTGTCCTGTCCCTACAGGCCCTTGTCAAAAGCCCCTGTCCAGATTTCTTGTCGCCCCTTTTAGACACTGGAAGCTGCTCTAGGGTCCAATTGCTCATGTTCTCCTCTGGACCACTCTCACTTCAGCCTCCACCCATCCTGTTTTGCTCAGCTCCATCCCTGGCAGCAGCTGCCAAGTTTCACTTTTGTATTATTGTGAAAATGGCCTGATTTCCAGTAAATTGGGATGCTTCTTGCTATCTCCATTGTCAAGAAGGAAAGCATGTGACAAATTCGGGTTGTATAAGGGGAGGACTTCGGACAGACTGACTCCAGTCTGGGAGCTGCTGAGCGTCAGAGGCAGATGGTAGGACCTTGATGGTTAAGCATTGGGGAGGGGTGGTGGGGTGAGGGGTGGTGAGGGATCAGCATAAAGTAGGGATCTTGTCTGTCTTCTGCTTCATATTTCATGGGTTTTACCATCTCCTGAGAGATGCCAGGGAAGGGAAAAAGGGCATTTAGGGTGAATGGTCCCTGCTCTAAGCCTGGGATGCAGGAAACAGCCTTTGCTCAACGGCTTGTTTGAAGAAGCTCAGGGCACCCGTGTGGGCTGCAGGGGTTGAACTGGGAGGGTAGGGAGGAGGCAGGGCGGTCAGTGCAGGAGCCCGTGGGGTAGGAAGAGGGATCCGGGGCTATTCAGGGGTAGACTGATGCCTGCAGGGGAGCAAAGCCTGGCTTCAGGAACTGGCTGCAGGGCTGGATGGGGAGGGACCTGCTACCTGCTCTGGGGCCAGACCCCTTGCAGAGCCCCTTTCCTGCTGCGAGCTGGGAAACGTTCCCGCAGCCAGCGCTGATCTTGCCCACCCCGGACACGACCCAGTCCCACGATGGGCCAGGATGGGTGCACTCGCCCCGAGCACAGCTTGCCGGGGCCAGGAGCTGGGTCGGCTGCGGAACGGGGCAGGCACCTACAGCCTGCTGACATTCGCTTCCCTGCTCTGGAGACAGGGGGCTGCGCTGGGCTGCGTCGGGGCCAGAGGAGAGGTGGAAGGCAGCCCTGCGGGCGCTCCTATAGCCTAGGAAGCTGAAACGGGTAGTTTGAGGAACATTACTGATGATAACCTTTTCGGTGGCATGCGCTCTGTCAGCTCTAACAGGGGTGCAGAAGCAATGGGTGCTGGGGGGCAGTCCTTGGGCTGGTGGTGTGGGCAGCTTGGGCAGTGGTGCCTGCCTCCTGCCCCGCTCACTGGGGAGTGTGGCAGCACTGGGATAACTAATGTGGGGCAGTTGTGGGACACCCTGCCCTGTTCCCAAAGAGAGGGGGAGAGTTTTTCCTTCCCCGCCCCATGGAGTGATGGTGAGATTCACCTCTCCCAGCCCCTCCTACAGTCTAAACTTCACCACCCAAAGTGCTCTGGTCCCTGGCACAGCCTCTTAAAGGCACAAGCTCTTCCAGAGCCCGGCTCTCCTGGGACAGGGATGGGGAAAACACTCTTGAGGGGGCTGTTCCCATGAGGCAGAATGCAGGCAGTCCTACTGTAGGTCATGCTGCCAGCCTTACTGCTTCCCTTGTTTGCTTGCAAGGAAGAAAGCAATCCCAAGTTATTCCAGAAATATACTTAATAGTCCTCTTTCTGCACTAACACAAAAGCATGGGCCTTTTCCCTTTTTCTTGAAGTATGAAGCCATGCTGGGACTTCAAAGCCAGGTTAAGTGCTCAAGGCTAGGTTGGATGGGGCTTTGAGCAACCTGGTCTAGTGGAAGGTGTCCCTGCCCATGGCATGGGGTTGGAAACTGGAGGAGCTTTAAGGTCCCTTCCAACCCAAACCATTCTAGGATTTGATGATTCAAAGTGTGCTCACGTGCTGGTTGATGGTCCAGCTCTGCTGGAGTTAATGTCTGCTATTGTAGCTCTGCAATGCTGTTTTGGGCATCTGAGACTAAAATAGTGTTGGTAATGGGCCAACAAGCATGAAGCTGGGAGGGGATAGAACCAGGATACGTGGCCTGAGTGGACTGAGCTGGACGGCACTGGGCTCAGCAGTCAAAGTTGGGGCAAAAATATGGCCACTGCCATAAAAAATAATCAAAAGTACTTTTTGAAATATACTAGCAATAAAAGGAGGGCCAAGGAAAACCTTCGCCCTCTACTGGATACTGAGGATGTGGAAAAGGCTGAGGTACTTAATACTGCCTTTGCCCCAGTCTTTAAGAGTCACACCAGCCATCTTCAGGTTCATCAAGGCAAAGTGCTGGGTCCTGTGTTTGGGCCACAACAACCCCATGGAACACTACAGGCTTGGGAAAGAGTGGCTGGAAAGCTGCTCGGCAGAAAAGAACCTCAGGATGCTCCCTGGCAGCTACTGAACATGAGCAGCTTGTGCCCAGGCAGCCAAGAAGGCCAACAGCATCCTGGCCTGTATCAGCAAGAGTGTGGCAGCAGGGCCAGGGCAGTGATTGTCCCCCTGTACTCAGCACTCGTGAGGCCGCACCTCAAATCCTGTGTTCAGTTCTGGGCCCCTCACTACAAGAAAGACAATGAGGTGCTGGAGCAGGTCCAGAGAAGGGCAATGGAGCTGGGGAAGGATCTGGAAGTGTGATGGGGAATGGCTGATGGAACTGGGGGTGTTTAGTCTGGAGAAGAGAAAGGTCAAGGGGCACCTTATTGTTCTCTACAACTGCCTGAAAGGAGGTTGTAGTGAGGTGGGGGTAGATCTCCTCTCCCAAATAACAAGTGACAGGACAAGAGGAAAGAGCCTCAAACCGTGCCATGGGAGGTTTAGATTGAATATTAGGATCAATGTCTTCAGAGAGGGTGGTCAATGGAGGCATTGGAACAGACTGCCAAGGGAAATGGTGGAATCACCGTCACTCAGCAAAAAAAAAAAATCAAAAAACATGTCCAAAAAACGTGTAGATGGAGCCCTCAGCGATATGCTTTAGTGGTGGTCTTTGCAGTCTGGGGGTAATGGTTGGACTTGATGATCTTAAAGATATTTTCCAACCTAGTTGATCCTATGATGCTGTGATTCTCCTCTCCAGAAATCAGGAGTGAGACCTGTACCTGGGCTGGGACAATCCTAGGCACAAACACAGGCTGGGCAGAGACTGGATTGAGAGCAGCCCTGAGGAGAAGGACTTGGGGGTGTTGGTCAATAAGAAGCTCCCCATGACCCAGCAGTGTGCGCTTGAGCCCAGAAACCAACCGTGTCCTGGGCTGCATCACCAGCAGTGTGACCAGCAGGTCGAGGGAGGGGATTCTCCTCTGCTCTGGTGAGACCCCCCTGCAGTCCTGCAACCAGCTCTAGGGCTCCAGCATAAGAAGGACACGGAGCTGTTGGAGTGAGTCCAGAGGAGGCCACGAAGATGCTCCAAGGGCTGGAGCACCTCTACTATGGAGACAGGCTGAGAGAGCTGGGCTTGTTCAGCCTGGAGAAGAGAAGGCTCCGGGGAGATTTTATAGCAGCCTTCCAGTAGCTGAAGAGGCTGACAAGAAATCTGGAGAGGGGCTTTTGACAAGGGCCTGTAGGGACAGGACAAGGGGGAATGGCTTTAACCTGACAGAGGGGAGATTGAGATGAGATCTGAGGCAGAAGTTCTTCCCTGTGAGGGTGGTGAGGCCCTGGCACAGGTTGCCCAGAGAAGCTGTGGCTGCCCCATCCCTGGCAGTGTTCAAGGCCAGGTTGGATGGGGCTTGGAGTAACCTGGTCTAG